AATGATCTTGTGTGATCCCTCCTCCTATAGTCAAACCTGCTTCCTCCTCCTGGACGCTCAGGCTGGGGTTAAGCTCCTCTGATAGCTCCGGTCAGATGTTGTATTAATAGCCGTTTGAGGCTCACACGGGGACGTGACCTTGGCGTCTGTCACGTTTCATTATTTTACAGTTGCCTGCCCGAAATGGGGCTGAGTCAGGAGGGTGAGGTGGAGGGTGGCGTTGTAGATTTGTCGTCGGCTGGCAGAAACAGGACAGGTGAGACGGTCGGGGACATTTGAATGAAAGGGCATCGTGTCAACTGAAAGGAGACCGGTCGAAATCCCAGCTGTGCATCGTGCTGTTCATAAAACAGTGCAGTCGTGGATGTTTCAGAGACCACAGCCCCTGAGATCAGGCAGCAAAGGTCCCAAGAATCATCCTGCAGATGGAAGGAGACACAAAACACACAGCACTGCTTTTTATCTCCATCGTCTGTGGGTCTCTGGGTCTCTGTGGGTCTCTGTAGGTCTCTGTGGGTCTCTGTGGCTATTTTGTGTTTCTTTGTGATCACTTTCAGTCTCCTCGTGGTTATTTTAAATTTCTTGGTGTTTTCTTTTCATTCTTCTTGGTATTCTTGAGAAGCTTTGTGGTCCTTTTGTGTCTCTTTTTGGTTGTTTTTGTCTGTTTATGATCCTTTTGAGTCTCTTCCTGGTTGTTTTGTGTTTCTTTGTTGTACTGAGTGTGTTTGACATTTTGCAGCTGAAGCCCACAGGCCTCCTGACCCCTTGAGTCTTGAGCCCGGTTGAATCATTTAGTAATCCACTCGTTCTTTATAAGACAGTCAGTGCCGTCTCCTCTGGTGTCTCAGCAGTATCCGCTTAGCCGCTCAGCTTTGGAGAAGAAGTCCCAAAGTTCGGTGGTTATGCCCAAAAGTAGACGTGGAATATTGACGCTATTTAATCCGGTCGTTTGGAATTAACCTGAGATCCTTAGAAATGTTCGTCAAAATGACTCGATTTATGCAGAAAACCTGTAGCTTGAGGCTGAACCGGTTTGTCTTTGTTGGAGGTTTGTTTACAGCCCAGCGTGAGCGTCTATAGGCTCCAAAGATGTTTTTCTCAGTGAGCAGAGTGATGATGTCTCACAAAGGAATGAGAACAATGATATTCACGTCGTTCTTTTGGGTTTCCACTGTGGTTTTGCTGCACTGTTGAATTTGCAGAAGTGGAGATGATACCTGTGGCAGACAATGGTCTCGGCCCTGCTGCATCGTTTTGCGTTCACAGAGCTGCAGCGGCACTCGGCTCGTGCATGCAGCACTCCAGCATAACAGGCTACAGTTTAAAGACGGGGTTAGCGAAGGAAAACCTCGAATCCTGAGAGGATTAATTAGAGGTAAAAGGAATATTTCTGATGCACAGCTCGTGAGTTTCCTCGAATATGTGCAGGAGGTGTAGCGACGACTCTGGTCCCCAGCTGCAGACTGCTTTTGGATGCAAACTTGTGTTTTACATGTCAGTGTGAAATCTCATTAGCCGCCCCTCAGGATAAATGCAGACCTTTGTTTCTGTAGCTTTTCCCTTCATTTGCCATCCAAATTTCTTCTTCACGTCAGGTGTTTGTCATACGTGTGTGGTCTCACGGCTGGTAAAAGCTGTGCACAGGTGTGTGTGTGGATGCACGCTCGGCTCGTTCCTGCAGGATTAGATGTGCTTCTGTTTGACCTTGACTGAAAAGGAACACTGCTTTTTAAGCTAATCCCCTTCAGGAGGCTCTGCTGTAACAGTCC